ATTGTTTTGACATTGTTTTGGCCGTGTTGCCATAGCGACTTAATTCGGTACTCCTACGGAGTACAATTAACGCTATAATTGCACTCCTCTCGACCAATCAGAGTCGAGTAATTTTATTGAGTGTACTATAAAAAAGGTAATTATGAACTCTCTTAAATAAAATTAGTATTATTAGAAAACTCTTGACGTTTTTTTCGATCTTTTAAAAAAGTGAAAAATAAACATGCATTTCATCAACAACATATAAAATTTTTTTAACATTTTAAATTCTTAAATATTTAGCTATTAATGCAAAGAACTCTTTAAAAAATTTATTAATAAATTTGGCCTGGAAGAGCAAAATCAGAGAAACTGGACAGATCAGAAAAGTAGTGCACGAGAAGACACACATGAATATGAATTAAACTCGACGGCACCTGGTCTAAAATAGGAAAATGTTACGTTGAAGGTTTTGTTTCATGTTTCATATTGAATAACATGAATCATGCAACATGCAGCATACAACATCACCATCAATCAATGTGCAGAACCTTCACCAACCTTTTTAAAATAGCTGTATATGTGTGTAAACTGACCTGATTTCTTGTTTAACCTAAGCAGACGTATCAATTCGTTAAATGAACAATCTAACATGGACTCGGTTTTCTTGATACTTTTACAGACTGCTAATTTTTGGTAGTTGCAGTTCTTCTTGCAGGCGGATGCTTTGGTCTTCATTCAACATCCCTCTCACTGGCTTCTCTCTCTTTTTGCAAAGGAAAATGACGATGAGCATCATGAGCTCAATGACTTCAGTAGCAGCGAGAACAGAGACACCAAGCCAGAGGCCCAGTTGACCTCCCACGTCGGAGACAAAGTCAATCACCTAATGAATGAAAAAATATATGTTTTTGATTTCAAGACTCGGCATCACAGATGTGAGAAGAGTTTATTTGGTCTCTCTCTTGACTAGAGGGTTTTTAAAGACTAGGATAAAAGCTGCACTAAATTCAGTGTAGGCATTTTTCTCGACCCAACATCCAGTAAATCGAAGTCCAGTTCATTCAATCAATGCACGATTCTTTTCGATTTCGAGACTCAGCATCACACATGTGAGAAGAGTTTGCTTGGTCTCTTGATTCGAGGTCTTTTTTTCTCGGTTCTGCGGTTTTCCTTCCTCCGCAAAACCCGGTTATACAATATTTCTTGCAAAATTTCAACAACAACAAAATAACAATAATAATACTAAACTTATGAATATCAATATAAGGACTTGGATAAAAGCTGCAAATTCAGTGTAGACATTTTTCTTGACCCAACATCCAGTAAATCGAATTTCAGTTCATTCCATAAATGAACGGTTCTGGATTTTCCAAAATAAATAAAAAAATCTATCTAAATTTAGAATCTAGAAGCTTACCAAATCAAATGTTAGGCAGGGCATGTTTTTGATATATATTGAGATTATCTAACCCTTTTGTTTGATCATTTTTTTGTTGCGATCCAATATCTAGTCGGCCAACGTCGAGTCCAATACCTTAGTTTAAGTATGTTGCATTACAGGATATTTGCACGACTGCAAAAGGCTATTAACGGTACGAACGTGGGCGCAATGCCATGCTGGATCGTGTCCGTGTAATTCACCTTTTGAGCGCTAGCCCAAAACGTGTTGGAGTGTGTTACGGTCACCAAAAGTTCGGACATCATTTTCGGATTCCCATACAAGTTCACGAATTAGAAAAAAAAATTCAGATCGAATTCTTAAGTTAATATTTTAAACGCACAGCGGTAAGAAAAGCTTTAATCAAGTCAGAGAAGTGATATTTTGTTGGTATTTAGAGAGCTAACTAAGCAAACCGAGTAAATAATTAGTTTAAAAGTCAGTACCTTTGTAAGGAAATTCGAGAACAATGTCCGAACTTTTTGGTGACCGTAACACAATCCAACACCTTTTATACCACGTGATGGCTAGCGTTCAAAAGGTGAATTTTATCGGATATAAGTGATTTCTTACCCCATAAGAGACCGTCTCCTCAATGATTTCGTAGTTCAGTTGCTCATAGAAAATGCTGACTTTGAGGTAGTTATCGCTATAAACAGAGACAATTGCAAAACATAATGACAGGGGAAATTTTAGTACATGCAATATTGTAAGATACCCGAACTCATATCAAATCATTTCTCCCGTTTTCCTTTTTTGGACATGAAAACATTTTGACACAATTCCTTGGATTAAAGGGGAAGGGTCACGTGCTCTGTTGGTATAAGTTTCCATTTCGACAAATGCACTTTCTCTTCTTCTAAAACACTTCAGAACAACTAAAGTTCATGGCGTTTCCGAAGTGAAGGGAAGACTGGAAACGATCTCTAGAGACTCAGGATTGTAGGACTGAATGACCAAAGATAGCGAAACTTCCTGACATCGCCCCCAGGTAATCCCACAATCCACCACCAAGTCCCCCAAAGTCGACGAAATTTGATTTACCTGAAACGGATTT